AATCAATGTAAATTAAGAGAAAGCATCCATGAGGCTATACTGGCTCTGCAAATGTGCAGAGCCCAGAATTCAGCCTGTACTGTATATTGCCACACCTAGCCAGGTCTGTAGCATTATGCTTAAGGTAGGTGCCATTTTTGATGTCTGTTTTCTTTTTTTAAATTTTGGTACCAGGCATCAAACTTGACCTTTCCAGGCAGGCTCTTATGCCTCTGAGCTATATCTCAGCCCCTTGTTTTGTTTTGTTTTGTTTGTTTTTGAGATGGAATGCTATGTATCCTTGGCTGTCTTTGAATTCATGATCCTCCTGTCTCATCCTCCTAAGGACTGTGATAACAAGCCTGCATATCACACCCAGCTGGGGCACATACTTTTGAAGAAATCCTGGAATACATTCATAACTAGCTTGAGGGACAGAAGTTCCGTGATTTGATAAAAGAAGTGTTTTAGCCTACAGAAGAAGATTCTTTGAAGAAAATGTGGTGGCTCTCCAAAACATCTGCAGAGCAGTCTTGTGAGAAAAGGAACAAATTTTTCCTGTCTCATTCCAAATGGCAAAATTAATGCACTGGATGGAAATTATAAGGAAGTGCTTTCTTAAATAGGTTTGGGTTCTCTAAAAGTAATAGATTCTACCTATAAAGGTAAGAAGTTAATTGATCTCACAAAGAAATGTAGTAGTAGTTGATTAGCTGGATTTGGTGATGTATAATATCCCTTATAAATCCAGGATATTAATCCATAATAGATACAATGAATAAATGAATTCCATATAAGGATGTATAAGCCTAATATAATTAATGTGTCACATAATGACCATTCACTGATATTAACATGATTGGTAATAAGTGCTAAAGAGTTTTGGACTGGTTAAATTTACTTAATTATTTATTAATTAAAAATATTTCTGAAGGCAGTAGATTCTGAGTTTCAGGATGAAAAAGTAAGAAATCATGTAATTCCAGATCTATGAAACAACTGAGAAAATGAAAGAATTTTGGTTTGGCTGAATTGATTGGGTGTAGGTGGTGGTCTCAGGATAGGCCAGACCAGATAGCTGACCACCTGAGCTGGAAGCTGATGATTGGGTCCCAAGGTGATAGCAGGACGGCAGGGTGCACACTCCAGGAGGCCTATGTCAGGGTGGGGGCTATTAAGCAAAGACAGAAAGCTGGACTGTAACGAGGTGGCTTCAATGGGAGCTGTGGTGGGGAGCGTGGGAGCTGATCAAAAGAGGATCCAGGCTAAACTCTGTTCTGGAGGGCCCTGATCACAGCTGCTGGTTCATTTCTGTACTGTATACAAATTGGGAAGGCTTTTGACACAGAGTTGGACAGACCCATCAAAGTTGGTACAAATTCTCCAAAACTGAGCTTCAGTGCTCACAGGCAAACAACTCACAACCTTTGGGTTCATGTAATTTTGAAAGCAGCCTTCCAAATCAGTTTTGCATTTTTCCGCCTGCCACTTGTATCTCAAACATTTTCCTACTTGGCAGCCCTACCTTGGCTCCCTCTGCACAGAGGAACTGTTTAGGAGGCTGGAATGTGCGTGAAGGAGTAGAAGCCTCAGACAGATGAAAGCTGGGAGCCCTCCCTGGCTTCCATAAAAGCACTCCTAGCTTTCTGCCATGTGTATACAGGATTCCACTGCCCACGAACCTGGAATTATCTGTCAAAAGACTGGAACATTTTAAATACCCAAAGTTTTATTTAGAGATCAAGTTTCAGTTTTGACTGTATTTAGAGTGTTTGCCTTTCAATGCCACAGAAAAAACAAGGCATATACAGTTACCCCTGAGGATGAGCAGAAACTACAAGCCAAAGAACCCGCAAAAGAAGAGTTGTGAAGCTCTACGTGGGTCCGGCTGCTTCTTCACTTTAAAATGGAGTTCTCAGGTAGAGGCTCCTCCTCAGGGGACCACTGGCTGTTAATGATTAATTAGGGGCTCTCAGCCCAGTTTTTATCTTTGAACATCCAGATCTCAATCCTCTTAGCCATTTCATATTCATAATTCTGGTTAGACATTCCAGGATCATGTACAATTAATAAGGCTCAGATGATTTTCATCTGTTCTTCCAAAATTCTCTCCCCATCATTTTCCTCAGCACCTTTGGAGGGCTACAGATTTTTCTTCCCTGTCCCTCATGTGTGAAAGTGAAATTAGCCACACTGAGTGGCTCTATATGATTTGCTATATGACCTGGGGTTATTGCTTCACCTCTGTGGGTCTCAGCTTTCTTTTCCAAAAGTTGCTATAGAGATGAATTAGAAACATGAAATGTGATGAGTCTAAGGCCTGGTACATAGTAGGTGCTCAACAATGTTAGTTAGCTCCTCTCTGAATTTTCCCCCTTATCTTCTTGTTTTACTCTATTTGGTTCTTAATATTCATCTGTTTATTTCATCCTGCAATAGGGAGTAACGTTGCCTTTGATTACCTAATTACAAAAAAGGATTAAGTAGGTGAAAACTAGAAACTAGCACATCTGTTACCTTCTCTTTTAAGGGAATTAAGAAGATCGCATCTGGTTTAGAACATAATCTTGTGTTTTGGGCTCTCTTTACCTCTTTGGTTCCTTATGACCCCACTCATTTAGCAGTCATGAGGGACAGTTGTCCAGTGATGTGCAGAGGGGATAGATCCATTGAGGTAATCTAGCAGATTCTTGCTTCTAAAAGAATTCAGTAGCTTTTGCTTTCTATCACAAAAGCCTATGCTGTTAGTAATTCTTTTAATGATTTTTAGAAAGTTGTTATGGAATACAGGTTTTATAGTAATGCAATATGTTAGCACAAAACAAGATATTCATGACACACTAATGAGAAAACAACATCACATATCTGCTTTCGATGTACTGGTTTGAAAATATAAAAGAACAAAACTATGGTAAAAACTTGTATGGATTTATAGATAATACTTGAAACATTAAATAAGATTTTAGACACCTTGTATATGTTCTGCAGGGGACAAAGTCCTTGATACATAACTCTTCCTAGAAGTTCTTATTCTAAACTGCTTTCTTTTTAATGAAGGGGAAAATTCTTTTTTCTCTTAAGTTTAATTCTTATCTTTCATTGTCTATAAAATGTTGCTTCATTCACATCTGCTCACACATCACAGGATATATATGATCTTGATGTATGTATTCAAAGCAAGACGCCCTAGGTCTTTGAACACATGTATTATTATGCAAACGAGGAGGGGGGTCAGCGCCTCCCAAACCTGGTCAAAATATATTGTAGTGCCTCTCAGGAAGAATAGTTCTATTCATTTTTAAAATGCACCCAAGAAAACAGTGACTTGAAAAATTGGCATTAGGAGTGGCCAGTCTTTCTTTAAGTGGTTCTCATAGTTATAAAATGATACAGATAATTTTCTGCCTTTTACTGTCCTTTATGTGGAACATGTGCAATGTTCCCAAATTTCAAATTCCATGCCCTTCTCTTCCTCCTCCACTCTTCTTTCATTCTCCCTGAGTGAAAAAAATGACACTACCATGTGTCTGCATTGAACAAAAATTTCATGACCAGGGTGACCCCAGTAATGGGTTATGAAGACAGAAGCCTATGCACAAAATGACTGACAATGGTATCTCCATGAGATTGTGGCCAATGCTGATTCTGTAAGCTTGGATAATGACTTTCCAAACCACCAGTACTGCAATATGGTGCTCAGCCTTCCTGTATTCACATATATCCTCTTTGGCATATGAGTTACTATATCTTAGATCTCTTTTTGTACAAAGGGTTCTGGTAAACAAAATTCTTCAAATCCTAAATAAGAATGGAAAATGCATGATATGATAAGTGGGCTCTTCCTTTCCTGTTCTACTCTGATGCTAACCTGAAAACTAATACTGGCCCCTATCTATAGTCATCAGAAGAGATTCACAGTTACCACAATTGAGTATGTTCTAGAATCAAGCCAGCAAAAATTCCCACAGGGAAAATTATTAAGGCTGACCACCATTAGAGAGCAGTAAGAACAAAAACTGAGGTCCTGAATGAAGTCATAATTAAACTTTTAATTGAGGTTTTCTCATTATTAAGACTATAAATCCTAACAAGGCTGCATTTCAGTTTAACTCAGCCAAAAAAATAAAAGCAACCTGGCCATATGCTTTTTATCAAAGAACTTTATTCATTTAGCCCCAGGCTCAGAATTTGATAACATATTTTCTGTTAACCCTCTTCACATGAAGCAATTTTAAAGAGGAAAACGAGGGAAGAGATTCTAACTACTTTATTTGGATACTTAAAAAGGGCCAAATTGAATTACTAGCAGTTTCCTTAAACATTCGCTGGTTTTCAGTCTAGCCTACATGTGGACATAAGCTCACCTCCCTCGTTAAAAACCTCTCTTTCAACAAACAACAACAACAAACTATTCAAGTAGCTCCTTTTCCTGGACTAGCTTTTGTCAACCCAGTTAGAAATAATATCATCTTGCTAGCATTCTGTTTGAGTCTTTTTAAAGTTGCTTTCCCTCTTGGCATTGCAATATTAACTTTTGCACAACTTCTTTGTTGGTGACAGCATCTTTGCGTCCTGTGCAATATTTTCAGCAGTGTCCTAGGTGTGGTACCGACTTGGTAACTATTTTGCTCCTTGGTGATTAAAAATCAGGGAAGTAGAAAAATTAAAGGAGAATGCATGATGCTCAGTGGAATACATTTTTAATAAATAGTCCTTGAGAGCTGTAAGTTTTACCTGCAGGAACACTTTACGTCATATCTTGAGAGGAGCAGGAGTCTATAGTGTAATTTATTCTTGATGTTAAAGCAGGAATAAAAAGTTTATTTTCTACTGAAAAAGTTCTATTTAATTCATTTCTTCATAATGAAGGATTGTAGTGTATACTTTGCTGTCCATGTTTATTTGAAGCATTTTCTTATTTAAGACGTTTATTTTATATATATATATATATATATATATATATATATATTTTTTTTTTTTTTTTTTTTTTTTTTTTTTTTTTTTGTAAGCTGGCTACAGCTGCCTTACCAGAAAGCAAAGCAGCTTTCTGAAACTTTTACGGCTGGATTTCCAATCTCAGAGCTTGTTTGGCTGCACTCTTTTCTCTTCCCTCTCCCTTTCTCCTTTAACTCTCCAGTGAGCCCCGCGTTCTGGTGCTTCGTCAGCTCTGAGGCATGTCAAATACTTGTATTTGCTTTTAGAGCTATGTGGGGGATCCGAGCTGCGGTGCTGTCCGGCTCGTGAACATTCCCAGTTTTCTCTCGTCCTCTGATTGGCTGCCTGCGGTCACGTGAGGGCCCGGGGGTTGGAATTCTGAGTTGTGGCTTTTGGCACGCCTTTTCTTTTTAAAAAATAGCTCAGTCTGTTGCGCTCTCCTGGGCTTGGTGCCTTTGACGAGACTGGAAGCAGTCACAAACAGCCACTGGCAGACTGGGGCGGCGGTAGAAACGCTGCGGAGATGTTCAGGCAGGTGCCCAGGACCCCAGCTTCAGGCTGCTACTATCTAAATTCCATGACAACTGAGGGCCAGGAGATGTACTTGCGATTTGATCAGACTGCCAGACGCTCTCCTTACAGGATGAGCCGGATTCTAGCACGCCATCAGCTAGTGACTAAAATTCAACAAGGTGAGTTGCTGGCAGTGGCAGGCTGTTGCTACTTCTGATTTCTGTTGGCTCTGTTTCGTGCTAACTCAGTTTTTAAAGTTATTGTTCTCACTGTACAATATGTGGATTTCTGTGCCACACTGCGCGTAACTTGTAAAAATAATTTCAGGCTGCAGTTTTAAGTAAATTGTGACAGAACTTGGCTGCCGTATAACAGCATAAAATTCATAAAAATTTTTCATGGTAGGACAGTGAATCATAAATTCCAAAGCTTACCTGTGTGTACAAAATAGATGAGGAAAGTTTACTCAGTGTGTGTTTGGAAGTTTTCTGCAAGTGAACATAGTCACATTGAAAACATTGTTTATTTAATTAGGAAAAGAGCGACGAACTAACGTCCACCCTGTTTAGAATTTTTAGAATGTCCTCAGAGAAGAAGAGACAGACTTGTATTCTTAGAGCCACTGGATTGACAGCAAGAATCACATTCTCTTTCTGTTCGCGTGTTTACGTCAGTAGTTGCCAGTGACTTGTTTACTTTTTTTTTCTTGTAAAGGATAAATGTATCTGTTCACCTCAAAACAAATCCTGCAACCTGCACACACAAGCACCAAAATGTTACAGCAAAAAGGAGAGAATATTGACTGCAAATTGAAGGCTTTAATGGCTTAATGGAAGCCTGGCTATTACTAAAATTCACTTTCTCCAAAGAAATCTAAAACATACTTCTTATAGAATAGGTGCATAGAATGTCCTGACTAGCAAATAGTCCTGACTAGCTTCTAACTATCGTCCATTTAAAAGTCAGCCCCTCCCCATCCATTCACCCAGTGAATAACCTCCTCTTTCCTGGACTAAAATTATAACTAAATTATTATATTAGTGCTACATAAATTTACCAGGAACTTCTACAGCCATTATAAAGATGCAGTTTCCACTAGAATAAATGACCGCTAGTGAATTTCAGAGAGGAAGTTGAGGTTTGTAATCAGAAAAATCTTATTGTAATGTTTCCAAAAGGAACAATATGTATTCTAGTGAGCAGCATTTGATGAGATTGTTTCCTTGGAAATTGAGATTTGTTTGTAACGGTTCAGGAACTGGTTATGTGTGAAGGATACTGGTTCTACATACCGGCCTGATTTCAGGAAGGATATTATGTCATTCTATAAACTCTGTGTGCAGGTCTTGATTGAATAGAAACAAAAGTATTTCCCTGTTGCTTGATTTAAAAATACATTAGGCTTAGAATAAAAAAAAAACCTTCATTTAAGTTTTAACAGCTTTCTTTCTATCATCATTAAAATATTTAATGGTGATCTATCATTTACATTTAGTAAATATTTCTTGGCATGCATATAAAAAGTATATAATATGAAAATATAACATCACTGGAATTGTTTTTCAGACCTCCTTAGATGTATTTATAATAATTGACTTCAGAAAACATTATTTATATTCTCTGTGGATGAGGGTTACCTTTCCATCAATGATTTGACATTCTAAACACATGCATTATCATTAACAGTACACTCTCACACAGACATACAGACATTATAAGTCAATGTTTCATTTTACCTAATTAGACAGTTTGAGGAGCCTCACCATTTTATAATGAGCAATGGAATGTTTGAAGCAAATGAGTCCCTAAACATTAATAAGTGACAATTAAGGTCATTTAACTAGAAAGCATGAAAGAAATGTCTAGAAATCATTATTTGTTAGCATCCTATTACTGTTTAGTAAGACAGTGAAAAAGCAGATGCAAGAATGATTGTATTGGCTTACTGCATTAATGCACTGGATTGCTATCATAGTACAGAATGTTGTTAATCATTTACAGTGTATATGGCACTGCTGTGAGAGATCACTATGAATTTTATTTTTCCCAAGAAAAAAATTCTTACAGTTTCATTCTACTATAAACCCCATTTTACAGATGAGAAAACAGGGTTTGAGAAACTTGAACACATAGTGAGAGCTGATATTTCAATATAACTCCAAGGCCTTTGCTGTACAACACACTAGTGATTTTAGTTTTTATAATGAACACTGAACAAACACTGAACCTATGATTGAGTTTTGGATTATGCAATATACCCAAGACCTTTTAGCCTTCCACACTCAGGAGACAACAATGAATCATATTACAGAATCAGAATTGGTCACTTATGAGATTTCCAGCTAGGTTTTATTTCTCCAGTGGAAGCAAAGTGCTATGTGTTTTTGACTCCTTGACCAGTTAGTACTCAGTAGTGAGAGATGTCAATTTTGCCAACAACATTCTACCTCTTGATTAAAGTTTATCAAGTGCATTTTAAATTAATAACTATTCTTCCTGTAGTTCACATAGTAGTATCTTGAAATGACGTCTATCCCAGTGAAATTGCTTGCCTGGCTCTTTTAGATCTTTCAAATAGTGTTTAGCATTGTTTTAATATACTTTCAGGCAATGTTACTTACACTTTCTCATGACTGGTGGGAACAGTGTAAACCAGAGTAAGTTGCTCCATGCTGATCTCATTATAGTGAGATAATTGTTGAATGGCATGGACATGATTCAACAGCAGACACACTCATGAAGAAGAAAAACAACAAGGAGAAATAAAGGAATCTTTGATGATACATAGGATCAGAATTAGTTACTCAAACCTAGGATGAATCCAAACTTGCTCAACTTTGGGTACAATCTAAAATATACAGGCATTATTTTTCTAGCTTTTTTTGTTGTTATTCAAGAGTTATAAAGCCAATTAAAATAAGATGTTTAAACCATAGTCTTACATTGCAGAATGAAAGTTAATCAGAAATCCTCCTGCCTTTAATCCCTACCCCCCATTCTTTCTTGAGTCAATAGGGAAATTGTTACAGAGAGAAAGAATAGAAATAATAAGGCTCCTTATTTCCCTCAATGACAGGCACTTGGAAGTAAAGAGGCAGAGGACACTTAGGATTTGGTGGAGAAGCAGCATGTTAGGTCAGAGCAAAAAAGAACAGTACTTTTCTAATTATTACAATTATGGTAAATATACAGAGCATTAAATTTATTTTCTTTAAGTGTACAGTTTAGTAGCGGTAATTACACTCATAATCTGAATGTCTTGCGCCCATCCCTACCATCCATCTCCATGACTCTCTTCATCTTGAAAAACTGAAGCTCCAGTTCTAACAAACACTGACTCCTGTCCTGCCTTCCTCCCAGCCCCTGGCAACCACCATTTGGTTTTCCATCCCTGTGACTTAGACTCTTCTAGATACCTCATGAAAGTGGAATCTTACAGTGCAGTATTCATGTTTTTGTGACTGGCTTATTTCATTTAGCGTTATGTCTTTGAGGTTTATCTATGTCGTAGTGTTTGACCAGATTAATTTTCTTTTTAAGTCCATGTAGTACTCTTTCGTATGTCTACACCATATTACTTTCTCATTCTTTCCTTTTTTCCTTCTTTCTTTTTTGACAGTACCTGTTGTACTAGATGTGAGGTGAGAGAGTAGGATTTCTATATTGTTACTTGAAAATATTTATATATTGTTACTTGAAAGATATGTCTATATTGAATACAGGGGCACAATGTTAAATGTTTACATAGATACACACATATTCACACACATGCTATTTGGAAAAACCAAATCCAAGTAAATACATAAATGTACTTTATTTTGGGAAAAAATTTATCATATCGTTAACACTTTATTTTAATAAAAGCTTTCTTGTTGAGAAGTTTTTATCTTGATAAGAAACCAAAGTGGAGGAACACAGTTGTTGAGGCTTTTTCTGGTTCTTGTGTTCTGAATTTCTCTCTGTAGTTAAGTCATTACTTTCTTGAACAAGAATGTAGTAACCAGTGACACTTTAAACCTAACCTAATAGAACCTGTGAAAGAAACAGATCAGCTTTGTTACATGGAATTAATTAATGACTTTTAGTCTTTTTACTATTTGTTGAAGACATGGTAAAGTGGAATTTAGATTCACCCCTTTCATTAATTTTTTTTGTGATTTATAGAGTTAAAACGTACCTGGAATTTCTTTTATAAAAGAAAGCATTGGATTAAGCCATTTCTAAAACACCAGTCTTGTCTGAAATTCTAGAATTCTTTGATCACAGGTGTTGCCTTGAGAAAACAATTTTTATTTATATTTTCCTTTCTACATCCTTTACCGGTCATCTGAACATGCTTCTTCCATCCTGGTGTAATGTCCTCATTATTCTAAATGGTAGAAAAACTGAGTTGAATTTAACTAGAGTAGAATATGTGGCCTTTTTTTTTAATGTCCCTAGTATAAATGGGCATAAGTGACATATTCTCCCTCATGACTCTGTCAAGTGGCATCCTGGGAATTTGCCCAACCTAAGTGGTGAACATTACCCATCCATGGCAAGTGAGACCCCACCAACTGGCAATTACAGACTAAATTAAACTATCATTTGTTCTTCTGGAATTGTCCTTTCTCTATGTTGAGTACTGTACTTTAATATCCAGCTATTTTCAAAAGAGGGTGAATACACTGGCAGAAAAACAGATATAACACAGAAAAATGACTAAGAATGCATCCGTCGTGTATTGCTCGAGTTCTTTTTTTAAAAGTAGCAGCTGTCATAGATTCACATTTTATGAATCAGTCTCTTTTGAGTCAGTGCTGGTGACTGAAAACCCATACAGAGGAGACACTGTTTAAAGAGAAATCAGTGAAGTGAATTAAATCAAGGAACTTTACATAGCACCTTAAAATTTTGTGCATAGTAAAACTCCAAGCAGTTATGAAATGAGGCCTAGAGAGAGATTAGCAGAAAAAATATAAACATACAAAACTTGGGAGCTTCATGATAGCCAAGCTGTTGGTTCAGGAGCTCCATGTCACTTCTTTTATGAGCTGATTTTACAAACCTATGTCCCAGATGTAAGCAGCGGCCAAATATGGATCCTACGACATTGTGGATGGAGATTCATTTTTCTCATGTGTTTCACCTCTATCATTAGTGTTTTAATTGTTAAGAAATTCTGGACAGTGGTCAATTC